ATTGCAGCCCCATTTCGTTGACCAACAGGAATCATTATAATGAGTGCAACCTAATGCTTATGAAACCGGGCACTGAGCCCGTCTCAGTCAAGTTGCTCCTACAAAATACAGAGGTTTTCCCAGCTTTTAGAGTCCTCTGTGCCTTCTGGGCACCTTCTTCTGTGTTAATATCTCATGGCAAAAAGCCAAGAGCAGTTTTATTATTAGAGATTTTGTTATTTTGGAAATAAATACAAACCGGCAGGGCGAAGCAGTGCAGGACCGAAAGGCAGGCAGTGCCTGTGTCAGTAACAGCAGTTACCCAGTGAGCGATTATTCTTTGTACCAAGGAAATGGGCATCAGTATTGACTGTGCTTCTGAAACAGAGACTGGGCAGAAGGACCCTTGTCTGCTGGCTAGCAAAGGACGGGGTTTCTGTGGGAAGTGTCTGTAACGCTCCACGTCTGGGGCAAGAGGAGGAGGTGAGGAGCAGGGGAACCCCTGGATGTTTGACCTTGTTCTTATGATGTCAGGAGGGATAAAAAGTTCAGCAGACCACCACTGGAGGGAGCGTTTGAACGGGATTAAAACCTACTGAGGGCTCAAGGGCTCGAGTTTCTGTCCCAGCTTGAGGGGGTGGCTGAGGGCTTGGGTCACATTAAGACGGCTCACGCTGCAGCCTCCTGTCCCTTCTGACAGGTAGCAGTTGTCTCGTCACCTGTTTCAAATGCACAGGGAGTGGGGGAGAAGGAAAGGACAGCCTCCCGTGGGGTGCCGCCATGCTGCATACATCAGCCTCAAGTGTTCAGCATCACTCGGGCTGCATCAGGCACTGGGTAGGATATAGGCTTGGATGTTCAGTTGTCCCGTTGCACCACAGCAAGCCCATGGGCAGGCTGGTATGGAAGTCATTGGGTGCAGGCCCCATGTTGCTGGGGGAGTAAGAGCCATCTCCACTGGCATCCTCACTCTGCTCCACAAACTGCCCCTGCTGCGAGGGCTGTCCTGACCCTTCACTGTGGGAAGCAGAGGCACAGCAACGTCTCCTGCCCTCCCAGAAACCCACCCAAAGGTGGCAGCAGTAGCAAGTAGCTTGCCCAGGTCTGTTCTGGTGCTGGAGAGAGAGATCTAGTTCATTTTGCACCTCTCTCTGCGGGGACCTTTGGGGTCCAGCAGCTGCTTGAGAGCATTTCCCAGACTGCACTTGCAGTCAAAACTGGGCTGGGAAAGCCATGTACCTTGTTCCTTCCCCACATGCTTGGTTGCAGGAGAAACCACATCTGCAAGCACAGAACAGAGTAGTGGTGGAGAGCACCATGTGGCAGTCTGCGGAGAGAGCCAGAGTCTCTTGAAACCACTGGGAACGTTCCTAATGGCATCGCTGGCACTGGAGCAGGACCAGAGTCTGCCTGGGCTGATCCTGGAAGTTGCTGTCTTTCTTTTCCTGCTGAAAAGTGGCTTTGTGGACACTGATGCTCTTTGTGGGGAAGGTCTGGCTTCAGCCGATCTTCTGGACAAAGAAATGTTTTGAGAAATTTCAGAGTTGTCAAAACCTCCCTTTTTGATGTCTTGCAAACATGAAGTTTGGTTTCCTGCTTCCAGATTCCTTCTTGTTTGGCAGTTGGAGCAAAGTCAGGGACTCTCTGGAGTTAGAAAACACTCAGATTCCAAATAAAATGTTCAGAATGAGCCAGGCAAAATGCCTCAGTGGATCCAAACAGGAATGTTTTGCAGAGTTTTTAAGCACTCACATTTTAATCTGTATTTGGGGATGGGGAGGTTATTTTTAAGATCAGAAGCGTTTTTCCTGGGATAGAGAGAGAGGCCTTTCTTATCCAGAGCTTCCCAGCATGTCGCTCCTGATTGGGCCCCTTCTGTCTTGCTGAGTTTTCCTTCAACATACTCTGCTTGATCTTGCGGAAGTGCAGTGCACAGAATAACTCCCACATCTCTACTGGGGGCTGTGGGGAAGAAAAATCCTTTTTCCTTTGCATGAGCTGTGTTTCTGTACTGAGTGACAGTGGCGTGTAATTTAGGGCTTAGGCATTTATCCTTCCTGCAGAGCCCATTTGCTTCTTCCCACATGGAGCTGCTTGCTTGTACAGAAAGAACAGCGCAGGTCCTCAGGGAGCATTGCATGCAAGCCCATGGTGTAGGAGGGCCTGCTGGCAGGTGAGATCCTCCCCAGGACCGAGCCCAGGCAGATGCATAGCTCAGCACCCGGTGTGAGCAGGGGGGTAGCTGAGCTTCTGGTTCCTGCCTCGTGGGTGAATTTTGCCCCTTGGGCCCTAAGTTGCTGTTGTGTAACTTGGTCAGCAGCAGGTAGAAAGTGGGATTTGTCATGTTTTGTGACTGACTGATGGGCTGGGTAGCTGCAGATACAGATGAGCAGTAATCCCCAGCATGGCTTCAAAGGGGGTTTACAGGCCAGCCCCAGACACAGAGGTTAGCTGAGAGCGTGCAATGAGGTAGTTGGTAGAGCTGGGATCAGAGCTTGGGACAGTCCTGCCTTTGGATTACGCTGTCCAGCAGAGCCAGCCTCATGGTGAAACCACCTCCAGACTTGCATTTCTCTGCCCCTTGTCCTAGAGACTGAGGAGTGAAAGTGCCATGTGACTGACACTTATCTCTGTGGACAGACCCTTTGGGTCTGAGTTAAGGCACGTTACCCAGGGACTACGGCGAAGCACAGCTCGGGGCTTCCATTCTGAATGGCTGTTAACAAGGCTTGACTCGCCGCAGCCCTTGTGCGTGCAGTTTTCCCCGCGTGCTGATCAAAGAATCAATCTAATTTCCTGTCCCAGCTGTAAGCCGAGCCCGATACGCGTTGGCTTCATTATGGAACATTAGATGATTCAGGTTGTAAATGGCTCGTCATGCCGGCGGAGACACGCGCGTTTCCTTGTGCAGAAATAGATTCCATAAAACGCCATTGGGCTGTTTCTCCAGGAAGATGCCTGTCTGCCTGCCTGCAGTCTCCCTCTGCCCAGGCTGCTCAGGATCAACGACTGCCCAGACCAAATACAGTTGGGGTGGAGGCGAGGGACTTTTCCTCCCATGTTCCTCAAATTCAGAAGTATGTAAATCAAATGAAAACTCTCTGACACCATTGTCTCTGTTTGTTCAGCTCTGTCCCTGGCAATGAAAATTGACTTTGCCAACTTTGGCACGGCAGTGCTTGTGTCTTAGAGTGAGTTGTGAAATTGTACATTGTGTAGTGGGATTTAAAACATGATCTAGGAACATCTCCCAGAGCCTCAAGGAGTGGGGAGGGGGTGAAATATTGTCCCTGGGTCTTCCCACTATCAGGCACAACTTCGGGGTAACTCCATTATAGTTACTGGCTTGGTTTTCTTGTTTCTCATGCCTACATGAGCCCGGAATAACTGCCCTATGATTGATAACCACGGGGAGGAGAAGTGAGCCCTATTCCCTGTTAAAAAACCTAAGCATTTGGGGTGCATGTGGCCTGGTCTGGCCCCCACAAAGCAGCACTGTGCTGAGCAGAAACAAGGAAGGCTCTGACGTTGTCCTGTGTCCTTTCTCCCCTCTACAGAAAGTCTGCACCAAGTGCGGGATCGAGACCTTGGGGACCCAGAAGCGCCCTCTGTGGCTCTGCAAAATCTGCAGCGAGCAGAGAGAGGTAAAGGGCAGCGAAGGGGCAGGGCTCCCGTCTGTCACTGGTGCCAAAGGGTCCCATGCTGGGTATCTCCAGGGCAGGGAGCCGGGGGTGGGGGAACACAGCCGAAGTGACGGTTTTAGCTTCTGAGGAACGAGGCTTGAGCGCTGCTGGCAGAGCTTGGGCCAGGTCCTGGCAGCTGACTCCAACGGTCTTTCTGGCTGTGGCCCTCGGGTCTGGAGGGCATGGCATGGCTCTGCACTGGCAGTCAGGAGACCAGGGCTCCTGTCCCTGCTCGGCAGCTGTAACAACCAACCCTGCTGCTTTCATTGGCCCTGAATGGCAAAACACCAACCCCAGTGAATGCAGTTGTCAAATTAGAAATGTGGTGCTGTGACCAGTGAGTGAGGAGACCCCATCATGGCCAAAGACAGCAGCAACTGGGCCATAGAAAGCCCTGCCTTGGTTATAGCCCTACGGAGAAACTGAGCCAAGGATTTAACTGAAGCAGCAACTTCTGCCAGGCTGTAATTGCAAAGCTGACATTCAGCCGAGGCATCATCAGATACCCGTGTTTAATTTTGGGTTCACTGCAGGAAAGCAGTGCTGATAGAGCCGTGCTGGGCACTAAATGCACTACTGGCCCAGGGGGATAATGTGCTCAAGCTGTTGAACCATCTAGATATTGCCTACCCCAGACTTCAGCTGGGGTCGGGAGGGGCACAGATCAAGGCACCCTCTGCCTTCTGCAGAGCTCGGTGCCAGAGCAGATGGGATATTGGGTTCGGCCTTTGCTTCTTTCTGTCTTCTTTGTTGATTGTTCCTCTTCCAGCTCTGCCCAGCTGCCCCTTTTTCTCAGTCCTTTATATAAAAAAAAATAAAAAGCTGTGATCTCTGGACAAAGAAGAGCATTAAAATGGCTGGTAATAAGTTTTATCTGCAGATTGGGCTCTGGGGTACAGGAACCTTTGGAGCTTTCCCCTAATGAAACCACTGCTCCAAGCATTGTGAATGGAAACGAGCAGGATCTGCAGAAATACGGCCTAGCTATGCTGGGAGCAAAATCCCTTTCTGTTGACACACACTGCCTCTTCTCACTGGGG